TCTGCTGCGTCGTTGTCAACTGTCAAAGCATAACAACTACATACAATTTTTATCAATATGGAATAAATCCAGGGAAGTGATGTGATAATATTTCATTTATTGAGTAAAGTGCTTTTATTTAGACCGTAAATGATTGTGTTTCAGGGAAAGATGCGGGGTACAGCACATTTGAAGTTAATATTAAGGTATCTAATATAAAGACTTAATGACTTACTGAATATCTCTGATCCGCTACATTCACAGCCGGATTTCCTACAGTGTCAAAATTGTGCCGACGGTAGGCTGTGTATAGGTAAAAGGGGATTAAATATACATATTAAACGATGCCATAGTAAAAATATTTCGGCTTGACAGCCTACCGTAGAAATTCATAACTCTATTAGCAATTTCTATAATGACAAAAAATTTTCCCTTTTTTTGGAGCAAATTTACAATTATCATCGTAATGTACGGGTAATTAAAAGAATTCCTAGAGGTGCGAGGATGCAGCTTGCTAAAGCATTGTCATGCACTATTCAAAATTGTTTCACTAATAGTGGAAATAGTTAGCAAAAATTATTTACTTTCGCGTATTCCCATTTTTATTTTGATAAAACAATAAATAAATCAATTACATCTCAACTAAAAGAGACATCTTTTCAAAATTTAGATTACCCAATTAATACTCATTTACCCCGACCACGTCCTAAATTTGATTTAAAAAAAGTAGTTGAGTCGAAAGTAATGGATGGCGACTTAAAAAATGCATCCCGTATTTTATTCTCAGACGACATCCTGGCTCCTCGTAACGTCGAAACTCTTGAAAGCCTTCGTCAAAAGCATCCTACGGTCAAACCTTCTCAGGGTTTACCGCTGCCTCCCAAGACTTCTATGCAACTATTACAAATTTCTGAAAAAGGCACTTTAGAAGCAATAATGTCATTTTCGAATGGCTCTGGGGGCGGCATTGACGGAATTGCGCCTCAACATCTTAAAGATCTTGTAAGCGCTTCTGCCGGTGATGCCGGCGAAGTACTTCTTAAAGACATTACAAAATTATGTAACTTTATGCTTTATGGTAATGTTAATCCAAATTTAATTCCATTATTATATGGGGCAAGATTATGTGCTTTCAAAAAAAAGGATAACGGTATCCGTCCTATTGCCGTTGGTTCCATATTTCGACGCTTAACTTCAAAATTAGCTTGCACATAATCTCTAACCTTAAGACCAAATTTCAGCCTACTCAACTAGGGTTTGTCACTAGAGGTGGCTGTGAGGCGGTGGTACATTCAATGTCCGGGTCACCTGTACTAATGGGTGTTCCTCAGGGCTCGATTCTCGGCCCATTCCTGTTTCTGGTGTATATTAATGACTTACCTCACCTTGTAGGGGATAGTCATGATATAGTATTATTTGCTGATGATACTTCCTTGATTTTTAAACTTAAACGTCAATCATTTAAATGTGACGAAGTGAATAATGCTATATCAAAATTAGTGCATTGGTTTAACGTTAATAATCTGCATTTGAACGGAAATAAAACTAATTGTGTTAAATTTACAACAACGAATGTTAAAAATCTTAATACCAATGTGTTTTTAAATGGGGAGGAATTGAGCCCTGTTGTATCCACTGTTTTTCTTGGCATCACTCTTGACGCAAAGCTACAGTGGGGCCCCCTTATATCCAAATTAGCAAGCAGACTAAGTTCTGCAGCCTATGCTGTAAAAAAGATTAGAGGTCTCACTAGTGTCGAGACAGCTAGATTAGTTTATTTTAGTTATTTTCATAGCATAATGTCTTATGGGATTTTGCTATGGGGAAATGCGGCTGATTCAGAAACTATTTTTGTTTTACAGAAGAGAGCCATTAGAGCTATTTACAATCTAAAACCGAGAGAGTCCCTTAGAGATAAATTTAAAGAAATTAATATATTAACTTTGGCCTCTCAGTATATTTACGAAAATTTAATGTATGTTCACAAAAACAAAGATAGTTTTAGTAAAAGAAGTGATATACATTCTGTAAACACTAGGAACAAACACAAGCTAGTGATACCAGTTTCTCGACTCCACAGAGTCAGTAATTCATTCTTGGGGCAATGTATACGCTATTACAACAAGGTCCCGGAAAGTGTACAGGTTCTCTCTATTACCAAGTTTAAATGTTTTATTAAGCTGAAACTGTATAAAAAGGGTTATTATAGTATAAATGAATACATGGTTGATAATAACCCCTGGGAATGAGGTGATCGCTTCCAAGCAGTTTCTAAAATATATTTTGTAAATAGTTCGTAATCATTTATATTGTAAAATTCATTTTAAAAAAAAGTCCCGCTGGGTTTCTTGCTGGTTCTTCCCAGGACAGAGGGTTTTTTTCGAACCAGTGGTAAAGTAAAAAACGACTTTCAATAAGAATTACACATGTAATGTATATTGAATAAAAAATATTCTATTCTATTCTATTCTATTCTATTCTAATGCGTACATTTTTAACAAACTCTGATGCAGATGTTCTTGTGAAGGTTGACCTAAGGAATGCTTTTAAATCTATCGATAGGGTAACCTTGCTGAAAGAAGTGGCTAACAATACCCCCGAAATTTATCATTAAGTTTGCCAATGTTATAGTCAATATACTAACTTGTTTTACGAAAACCATGTCATCGATTCTGCTGTTGGTGTTCAGCGGTCACCCTGCCTACCCTGCACTGGGTCCAGCACTTTTCAGTTTGGGAATTCAACCCATTATTTCAAATTTGAAATCCAAGCTGAATGTCTGGTACCTAGACGACGGTACACTGGGAGATGAAGCAGATGACGTCCTCAGCGATCTTACTCATATTTTTCGAAATTTTAAAAATATTGGTCTTGAACCAAATAGCAATAAATGTGAAATATTTTTTTTTTAGTATTAAACCTGTTTTAAAAACAAAATATGATCAGTTTTTAAACCACGTTGATAAATTGTATAAATGAAATCCCCACATAGCTCTTACTATTTTAAAATATTTTCTTTTTGTACCTAGATTTTCATACTTACTCCGCTCGAGTCCAGTCTGGAAATGTTCGGATATTTTAAAAGATATTGATAATAATCTTAAAATAGCTACAGAAAAAATTCTAAATTAAACTTTAAATGCAACAGCCCGGAATCAAGCTACTTTACCTATAAAATTTGGTGGCATTGGTGTAAGAAATCTTTCTAGCGTTGCATTGCCTGCTTTCCTTGCTTCCGTGTATAGTGTCATTGACTTAAGTAACATAATTTTATATAATAAAGTAGACCTATGTTTTTTTTGGAGGCAAGGCAGACATGGCAAACGCTCTGTCCTGGTGAAAATGTTTCACTGGAAGTAAACCAACAAAAAAGTGGGATATTCCATTGGTACAGGGCGTGCAGAAAGATTTGTTTCATAATTTCCATAGTGACCAAGACAAGGCACGCCTTCTAGCTGTTTTGACTAAGGAATCTAGTCACTGGTTACATGCTTAACCATCAAGTAATCTCAGCACGTTACTTGATGGGGAAAGCTTGCGCATTGCCGTAGGAATCCGACTAGGAGCGTCGATTTGTCAACCCCATTCGTGCCCCTGTGGTAGCAGCGTCGACGAGTTTGGGCTACACGAACTTTCATGTATGAAAAGTGCTAGTAGGTTTTCACCACACAGTTCTTTGAACGATGTCATCCGAAGGGCTCTTGTTGAATATTTAGAGACAATGGCAGGAGACCCGACGGTATGACATTGATCCCTTGGGAGAGAGGTAAAGCCTTAGTGTGGGAACCTACTTGCGTAGACACTCTGGCGGCCTCTCGTCTCAGGGGTACCTCGTTTAGAGCTGGGGTGGCATCAGAGGCAGCTGAACTGAGTAAGTGGCGCAAATATGAGTCTGTGAGAGATGACTACATATTTGTGTCATTTGCTGTAGAGACTATCGGTCCGTGGGGTTCACGTGCGGTGAAGTTCCTAAAGGAACTCCATCCGCGGCTGGTCGTTGCTGCTGGTGATAAGAGGGCTGGTTCTTTTCTCGCTCAAAGGCTAAGTATAGCCATTCAGCAGGGAAACGCAGCCAGCGTTCTTGGCACGATACCGCGGGGAGTAGGACTATATGATAATTTAAGTTTCTAGTTTTAGTTTTTTTTTATTATTATAGTTTGTAATATTGTTTATAATTAAAAAAATTGAATATCAGCACCCTTGAGATTAGTTTTACACAGATCGTTTAGTAAGATATAATTATATTAACTTCAGCCCCCTAGTCATCATCATCATTACAGCCCTTCACAAGTCCACTGCTGAACATAGGCCTCCCCCAAAGAATGCCACAAAGCACGGTCCTGAGCCACCTGCATCCATCGACTTCCTGCATATCTTACCAGGACGTCACTCCATCTAGTGGGGGGACGCCCTACACTTCGCCTGCCGGTACGAGGCTGCCACTGCCCCCTAGTATATATACGAAAATTACTTTTACTTTTATGGACATACATAAAGATATATTTATTTATGTTCATCAGTTCAAGTAATTTTAATAGAAAAGTGATATGAATTATGTTAGAATAAGGAATAAACAAAACCTAATGATACTGTTACGAGCTTGAGGTTCGAGACAATTAAAAACTGCCGATTAAATTACCAAAATTGACACTTTAATTACGGACACTAATTACATCTTAAAACACACTAATAATAAAACACAGTTCGCCGTTATTTCGCTTCGAAGTATTCTCTTGTATCGCCAATTCAATACTGCCCCGGTCGTGGTCTATACCGGCCTTATATAGGGCCTCAGATAGTTTCCAGAACCTTCTACTGTAGCGACATCTAGAATGTTCGAGTACTTATCGGTCCCGAAATTTCTGGAAGGATCTCGACTCTCCTAGTTCTGCTACTTGACACTAGAGGGCGCTAGTGTGACTAGTGTTGCCATGTACAAGACATTAATAGTGGCGCGCAATACTTTCATTTACTCGACACTAGGGGGCGCTAGTGTAACTAGTGTTGCCATGTACAAGACATTAATAGTGGCGCGTAACACTGCCCCCTCCTAAGACATGCTCGTCCCGAGCATTATTGGCCCCATAATAACGCGCCAGTCGATCCACATGGACAATCTTAGGAGTACCTCTGGCACCTTTCTGTATCCGGTAGGTTACATCATTGATCCTTGTCACAATCCGGTACGGTCCGTCCCATTTGGCTTGAAGCTTAGGAGATTTCCCTTTGCTGCGAACTGGATTGTGTAACCACACTAGTGAACCTTCATCAAAGCCCTTGTTGTTCATTTTGCGGTCATACCGTGTTTTCATCTTCTCAGACGTTTGCTGGCCCGTCTGTCTGACGTGCTCATAAATGTCATTCATTTTGTTCCGCAAGTCATTTGCATAATCGGTTATACTGCGTGGGGCATCAGGTGGTATTCCGGTGATCAGGTCTGCAGGCAGCCGCAATTCTCTCCCAAAGTTTGCGAAAGCTGGTGTCACTGATGTACTTTCGTGAACAGCGCTTCGATATGACAACAAAAACGGTTGTATGTGCCTGTCCCAGTCTCGTTGCCGTTTTTCCACAACTTTTGCTAGGTACCTCTCCAATGTCTGATTAAATCTTTCTACCATTCCATCAGATTGTGGGTGGTAAGAAGTTGTTCGTGTTTTCTGAGTACCCATAACTCGGCAAGTTTCCTGGAATATTTGAGACTCAAAATTCCTTCCTTGATCGCTGTGAATCTCTAAAGGTACTCCAAAACGACAGAAGACTTCATGAACTAGTTTATCTGCAACTGTTGAAGCTTCTTGATTTGGAATGGCGAAGACTTCTGGCCACTTAGTGAAGTAATCCATCACTACCATGAAATACTTGTTACCACTTTCAGTTTCTGGAAACGGCCCCGCAACGTCAATGGCTATCCTCTCCCATGGTGCACCAACATTGTACAATTTCAATGCGCCTCTACTACGAATTTGAGGTCCCTTTACAGCCGCACAACTTGTACATTTGCGGCACCAGTCCTCGACATCGTCACGACAGTGGACCCAGTAAAACCGTTCTCGGATCTTCAGGAGAGTTCGTTTAACTCCCAGGTGGCCTCCTGAACAACCACTATGGAACAGCCGTAGAATATCCGGCACTTTAGCCTTAGGGACAACCATTTGCAAATGACACCTGTCTCCCCGACCATTTTCCCATTTACGGCACAGGACTCCATCCTGAATCAGCAAGCTGTCCCATTGGGCCCAATAGCTTTTCGTGGTCGAACTCATTGCTGAGACGTCGCTCCACTTGGGCTTAGGAGCACTGGCCTTCCTCCATTCCAGAATCGGCTTAATGTCCGAATCTTCCTGCTGTGCATGTTGTAGGCTGTCCTTACACTCATTGCTGAGCTGGTCTGTCCTGAGCATTCTCACAGATACCACTTCCTTACCCTCTTGCCTAGTACAATGCTTGCAATCTTCAGGGCAAGGTCTTCTTGACAATGCATCTGCATTGCCATGAGATTTCCCGCTGCGATGTTCGATCACAAAGTCGTATTCCTGCAATAGTTCTATCCATCTCGCAACTTGTCCTTCCGGATTTTTGAACTGCAATAGCCATTTCAGTGCAGCATGGTCAGTTCGTAAGTGGAATTTCCGCCCTAGAAGATATTTGCTAAAATGCTGCAAGGACTGGCTTTCTGGCTTTGACAACGACTTGCTGAAGTACGCTATCAAAATCTCTTGATCACCATTCCGTTGAGACAACACACCGCCAAGTCCTATATCACTTGCGTCTGTGTCAACTATGAATTCCTTGCCCGCATCAGGGTACCCCAAAATAGGTGTTTTGCACAGGCGGTTCTTGAGCTCCTGGAATGCAATATCGCAACTTTCATCCCAGCAGAATTGTCGCTTCTCCTCGGTTAGCTTGTGCAGAGGTTTGGCTATATCTGCAAAGTTCTTCACAAATCGCCGATAATAAGAGCACAAACCCAAAAATGCTCTAACCTGTGTCTTGTCTTTTGGGACCGGCCACTCCTTGACAGCAGCAATTTTCTCTGGATCCGTGCGGATACCTTCTTCCGACACTACATACCCCAAAAAACTAACTTGCCGTTTGAATAGTGAGCACTTCTTTGGACTCAACTTGAGGTTGGCACTCTGGATCTTCATGAGCACGCGTTCCAGGTTTTGAAGGTGCTCCTCAAACGTACGGCCTACGATGATGATGTCGTCCAAATAGACGAGACAGGCATCTCCAATTAGCCCGGTAAGTACAAGCTCCATCAACCTTTCAAACGTTGCTGGAGCATTGCACAACCCAAACGGCATGACTTTAAATTGCCACAGACCCTTTCCTGTGGAAAATGCAGTTTTCTCCTTGTCCTTAGGGTCAATTTCAACCTGCCAGTAGCCACTTTTCAGGTCCAGCGTACTAAACCACTTTACGCCTGTGAGCATATCCAGCGTGTCATCAATTCTAGGCAAGGGATAGCTGTCCTTCTTCGTAACGTCGTTCAGGCGGCGGTAGTCAACACAAAACCGCATGCTGCCGTCCTTCTTCTTTACCAGCACCACAGGTGAACACCATGGACTAGATGAAGGTTCAATAACACCATCCTTCACCATTCCCTCAATCATGGTTTCCACTTCCTTTTCACGTGCTACAGGCAATCTTCTTGGCCGCTGACGAATAGGCAATTCTTGTCCTGTGTTTATTTTGTGTTGAACTAAGCCAGTCTTTCCTATGTCAGCTTCGTTTGACGAGAAAACATTGGCGTACTTGAGTAACAACTTCTTCGCCTTGACCATTTCATTCGGGGAGAGAACGCTGCGACAGTCTTCTAAAAGTGTGGTCACTCTCGTTTGTCCATCCTTGCTAGGGGTCCCGGTCGATAGATATTCGCACCGACGCAACCAATCCACTTCCTCACTAGTACCAACCAATGTGCCTTTTTCTATAATCTGTTCCTGATCACAAAGGTTCAACACACGTACTCCTGAGATGTCGGTGGTTCTGACCAAGGTTCGAGCCACTTTCCATGGAAGGTCATTGTCTACCCTTTCCACGAGTACACAACGATGAGTTTGCCCAGGACTCCGAGGAAGACTAACCGGCACAATCGTTTCCGATCTCGGCGGAAGAACAATCTTCTTAAGGCTGTACACATTCCCTGGTAACGCCCCTTCCATGAAAAGTTCTTCTTGTCCACATTTCAAAACACCTTGCTTAACGTCGATCTCACAACAATTCTTCCTCATAAAGTCTAGGCCCAGGATGCAGTCGTCCATTATATTAGCCACGATGACATTATGCAGGTAGATCATGTTGCCTAGCTTCAACTCCATCTCCTTCTCTCCACGGACGGGTATGCGCTGACCAGTGGCTGTCACCAAATTAATGCGTTCTCGGTTGTATGCGGAGTCACCAAGGAACCGACTTATAAGTTGGGAACTGACAACCGTGCGAGAGGCTCCAGTGTCTATGGTCAGTTTACATGGCGTTCCGTTGACTTCGCCCTTGATGATTAGGCTGTTCCCATCATGAGTTTGTGAGATCGAAATCCTTGGGGCTCTTTTAACATCAGCCAGCACCCGCCAGTTTCCCTGCTGCTGCTGGGCGGTGCTATTATCCGCACTACCCTCTCGAGATCGATCACCTTCCCTTTTTACAGTTCGCTTAGGGCAGCTGGATCGAAGATGGCCCCTTTCTCCACAGCCGTAGCACCTAGGGCTGTAGCTTTTATTGCGGTCCTGAACTTTAGCTGCTGCAACCTCCCTGACGCGGTGGGAACGATGATCCTGCCGCATGGCTTCCACCTCCAGTGCATGGGTCAAGGCGTCCTTAAGCGTCTCGTGGTGCCCGAGCCTCACAGCAGCTCTGACTTCAAGGTCGCGGATGCCGTCGATGAATGTCTGCACCAGGTTCCCTACAATAAGCGCAGGTACAGACTGGTACGCTTTTCGAACCAGCTTCTCCACCTCAAGGGCCCACTGCTGCAGGTTTTCGTTACTGCGTTGCACGCGATCTTTGAGCTGCGCACGAAAGACGTGTTCCAGGTGAGCGTCGCCATATCTCGCCTCCAATGCCTCAAGGAGCTGCTCGTAAGTCACTTCCTTACCGAGAGCTTCCAGAACAGTTAATGCCTGGTCGCGCAGGCCTAGGGTGAGAGCAGTCATGGCCTGACTTTTATTCCAGCCGTTCGCTTTCATGACAGCCTCGAACTGGATTTTATAGGCCGACCAGGAAGAAGTCCCGTCGAACGGTGGCACTTTGAATCCACGTAGCGAAGGTGTTGTAGCTACCACGGGAGCTGTAACTCCATCCCCAAGTTTGAGGTCGTCCAGCGTTTTCTTCACATCAGCCATCACGTTGTCAACCCGATTGTTCACTTGGTCGATTCGGGTTTCAGCTTCCGACAGGCGGTTGTCATGTTGAGCAACCCTATCCTTCACCTCCTTTATCTCTTTCCCGAAGGTAGCGTGAAGGTCCTTCCTGAGGAGCATCTGTTCTTCTATACCGCGCTGCAGCTGCTCTTCCAACCGACGGGTCTGTTCCTCCTGTCGGCGGGCCTGTTCCTCCTGTCGGCGGGCCTGTTCCTCCTGTCGGCGGGCCTGTTCCTCCTGTCGGCGGGCCTGTTTCTCCTGTCGGCGAGCCTGATCCTGCAGCATCATCATCAGAGCACCTAAGTCAGGTGCTGCAGATGCAGGAGCTGCTGACGGGCCAGCCTCCGTGGTTAGCAACTGGCCCTCCGACGTTTGCGGCGTTGCATTACCAAATCGTCTCTGGTCCGTCTCCTGTTGGCGTTGACTTCGGGTACGGATACCCTCCGTGTCGTCTTTAGGTAAAATCGGCATATTTGATCCCACTTCTGACACCAATTGTTACGAGCTTGAGGTTCGAGACAATTAAAAACTGCCGATTAAATTACCAAAATTGACACTTTAATTACGGACACTAATTACATCTTAAAACACACTAATAATAAAACACAGTTCGCCGTTATTTCGCTTCGAAGTATTCTCTTGTATCGCCAATTCAATACTGCCCCGGTCGTGGTCTATACCGGCCTTATATAGGGCCTCAGATAGTTTCCAGAACCTTCTACTGTAGCGACATCTAGAATGTTCGAGTACATATCGGTCCCAAAATTTCTGGAAGGATCTCGACTCTCCTAGTTCTGCCATGTACAAGACATTAATAGTGGCGCGCAATACTTTCATTTACTCGACACTAGGGGGCGCTAGTGTAACTAGTGTTGCCATGTACAAGACATTAATAGTGGCGCGTAACAATACCAATTACTCAATTCTACAGAGTCAATAATTCATTAATTGTATAATGTATAATTTACAGCGAGCTGTATAATTTACTGTGTAATTTACAGCGAGCGCTTAGCCTTTTTAGATACCATGATTTCCTTAGCCCCTAGGCTATGGTATAGTTCCATGATTCAATAATTCATACTTAATTGAAAATCGATATTCCTAAGCACCATATACTTGTTATTTATGTAAGCCTGTATAAAACAAAGCTTACCGGTTGTAGAGGCTAATACGCTAGATGATCTCAGATAATGAGAGAACTTCGGCGTAGGAGCGGTAAAGTTTTCCGAGTTTATCGATTATGTAAGGATAATCGCTATCTTGAACAACACTGCAGTTTTTATTACAATAAACATAATATAACACAATCGCTAGCCGAGGTGGCTTAGAGGATTAGTACTGTAATTAAAAATTTCACAGCATGCGAAAACAAGTTTGGCCTTTACGGTTTTACGGATTTACGGATTACGGACGTTAACTTCTGTTATTTTTTAACGCTTTATAGGTTCAATGCTGCCTCATCATCATCATCATCATCACCATTACAGCCTATACACGTCAAATACTGATCATCAGCATCCCCATAGATATACCACCATACAGATTACATTTCCTTTGCTTTTACCGTCTGCATGGAGAAAAGTTACAACGACAAAATCAACCCAGTTTTACAAACAGTGAAAACATTGTTGACCAAACCTCCATTAGAACTACGGTCTGCACAAATATTTTAATTACATAGCACACGTGCATACACCAGCTACCGCAAGCATAAATTTAATGAACCCCCGACCCTTACCATTGCAAATCATTGCTAAGCCATTGCGCCGCTGAGCTGTCAAATATTATTGATGTGAACTCTTTCCATCAGTATCTGCTGGCCTCCATTAAATGGTTACTTGAAGATTTGTGAACTTCCGTTTAACCGTACTAGGTTTAACACTTAAAAACTACTTTAAAACTACGAAGTGAAGAGGAATTGATTTAACGTCAGCAATTACTCCGACACACGGAACGCGGTAGCTTTCTATGAACTGCACGCTAAGTCAAAACTGGTTTTTACTTCATTATGCTGGATTAAACCGGCTGCGATTTGTTTTAAATGCTATGCCAGCAGATAGTCGCACCTGCTGGAATTCCATCGAATTATCCTTATTTGAGTTAAGGCTGTTGTCTGTTGTTGATATTACTATAAATTTGTTTTATTTAAACGTGATAGAGCCACGCTACAGCTACATCATCGCTATAGGATGGATGGGTCGGCTCGACTGGAGTAGGACCACGCTCTCACAGAATACCAGCGTAAAATAGCAGCTTATTGCTGCTGTGTTTCTTATGGTGAGTGTGGAGAACCGGATACCCTTTTTATTGGAAACAATGTATTCTATCTTAGTCCTCAGATTCTTAAACGAGGATAAATATAGACGTCGATGGGCCACAACATAGATAAAAAATACATTGCGTGACTAAGTTAAATTAGTCCTATTTAGTAAACTACAGGTGCAAGAAGAAACTGTTTTTTTTATTTATTTGCAGTAGGTATTGATTTAGACATTAAAAAATAATTTGAAATTATGGTTTGTGCTACAGCATTAAGCTTTTAAATCGGTGGCGGCTTCATACTCGATCGTTTCCGTTATTTTTATTTACTTTATTTTTTGTATTCACATATGTACTTTAAGGTAACAATAAACTGGGTAAATTCGACTATTAATCTAGAGGTCAACTGGCGACTCTCTAACTCGATTGGAAATAAGATTTTCGTACCGTAACGCAATCCCTATAGCATAGGGTAGAGCTATGCTGCAGTTTTATTATGAACTAGCTGTTACCCGCGACTTCACTCGCGTGTTAGGGTTTTTATGATTTTGCACGGAACCCTAATTATTTTTCTAAAATAAAAGTAGCCTACGTTACTCCTTATGAAATCAGCTACAGTCCCGCCAATATCGGTCCAGCCTTTTCGGAGATTAGCCGAAACAAACAGACAGACAGACAGACAGAAATTTTAAAAATTGTGTTTTTGTTATAAGTACCGTATATACTTTCATATGCAATTAGTAAAAAGCTGTAATTTTGACATTACAAACAGATACTTCAATTTTATTTATTTGTATAGATGTTGCACAAATGAGTTGGCTCGATCGGGAAAGACCGCGCTCTTACAGAATAGAAGCGTTAAATATATGCTCAATGTTGCTTTGTTTCGTATGGTAAGTGTAGCGAAACGGAGAACCTTTTTACTGGATACGAGTCATTCCATCTTAGCTCTCTTCGGTAACAAAGGATCTGCATTTTTATTCTCAATGGATAAT